ATATATATATATATATATATATATATATATATATATATATATATATATATATATATATATTTTATATATATATATATATATATATATATATATGTGTGTGTGTGTGTGTGTGTGTGTGTGTGTATATGTATATGGTATATCTTCTTTGTTTTACAATTAGCATTTGTATCAATGGTTTCAATAAAAAAAAAAAAAAAGTAATTATTTTGTGTAAGAAGCTCAACATAAATAGATTACATGTGTATAGGCATCTAAATATATATTATTTTTTCTCTAACAATATTCACTTTTGTTAGTGGAAGTGGAACCATCTTTATATGTAATAAGTTTTTTTTTGTTCATGTTTTTTTTTTTGCCTCAAGCAAAAGCAAACTTGAGTATAGTTTTGCATGCTTTTCCCCCCACGAGGTTTGTTGACATTCAGGATTGATGGTTACACAATTTATTTCATTATTTTTATGTGGAAAAACATAAAAAGGATGCAAACTAATAAAGAAAATAAAACCCTTGACTTTTGCTACTCATAAAATTTGATGTGTTCATTTGTAATTTGATGTGAATTAACTGGGAAATAATTGACAGTGTATATTATCTTATATAATCCGAATAATACAACATCAAGATTCTATTATTTGCTTCAGTAGGTACACAGTTGATGAGCCAGAAAACTATTAATAACTCCACAGTTTCACTAGTAGAAAAATGGTTTTTCAATACATTTGTTTTTGCTACCCTAAAAACCGTTACAAAATGTATCTTTTACTATGAGACAATTTGGGAGTCGTAGTAAATATAATGCTAGGATTTACCGTAGAAAAAAAGTATTTCCTACGGCTACTTACCTTAGCAAAGTTTTTGTCATGCCCATATCTGCTATGGGGAAAATTCGTAGAAAATGAGTATATACGTAGCAAACCTTTATACTACGGATTCGGTACCTTTTGCTTATGGTCGTAGTAAAAAATCATTTTTATACTAGTGTTTTCTGCAGGATTTTACATAATATACACATGAATATTACATGAATTGCTTCATTAATGAATTGTAAATAAAATTTTGAGTTATTAATAATATATGCCTATTTAACGTACAGTAATTTTGATATAACTTAATTTCTGGTGATCATTTATGTGTTTATAGGACAATGCATGCAATTAACAATTCTTTTGAGATTTGTGATTGGATCGTCGAATTTTCAGTTAGTTAAGATTTCACATTTTGTTTATAACTCAGAATATTCTTGATACATATTTATAGGCATTACATTAAACTAGTTCAAGAGGACTATGAATTCATTTACGCATGTTCCACCTGGATTCCGCTTCCACCCGACGGACGAAGAACTGGTAGATTACTATCTCCGTAAAAAGATTGCTTCAAAAAGAATTGACCTTGATGTCATCAAAGATATCGATCTTTACAAAATCGAGCCGTGGGATCTTCAAGGTGAGATGCGCGCGCTGCCCATGAATTTCATGAATTTTGATTTTTGTTTTAAATTCCATTTTTTTACGACATGTTATATTGCATAAATATATAGTTACGCATATGCCTTGCACGCATTCACAAAATGAATCGAAAATAATAATAAATACAAGAAAAATACGTAAAGAACTTTGCAGGATAGGAAGTGAGGAAGAGAGTGACTGCTACTTTTTTAGTCATAAAGACAAGAAATATCCGACGGGGACTAGAACGAATAGAGCTACAAAGGCTGGATTCTGGAAAGCTACAGGGAGAGACAAGGCAATTTACAGTAAGCATAGCTTGGTCGGGATGCGAAAGACTTTGGTTTATTACAAAGGACGAGCACCAAATGGACAAAAATCAGACTGGATAATGCATGAATATAGACTTGAAACCAATGAAACCGCAACTCTCCAGGCAAGTTTGTTCACTTCTTAATTAATATTATGTATATAATTCTGGGTTTTATTACTAAAGAATAGGTTATTATATAGCTAGGTTGACAAAACACTATAACAAATTAATTAATATTTGGAGTGACGATAATATATATTATTCTATGACGTCTTTATGACAATAAGTCTTAGTACAGTGTTGTCGCTGCAACTTAATTTATATGTATTGGAGATATTAATATTAAATGATACATTTCACTAACAGTACAGTTTAAGCTTTTGGTAGAACTGATCATTCAACAATACGTCACTACCTAATTCAATGAGGAAACAATACAAAAAGAATTGGTGACCGAAAAACGAAAAATAACTAGTGGAAAACATAAGAATATCCAAAAATATATATTACCTATAAATATATATAAGCATTACTAAAATTTTGTCACTAATAATATATTTCCATGCATATATAAATGACACAAGGTACAACATATATACATAACACTAATTATGATTTTATTGTATATAAATAAAAAATGAGATCCCTTGATCAATAGGGCTTGATTTATATTTACATGCGTGTAAACATATATTTTATGTAATAATTAACATACTTTATAGAAAAAAGTGGAGTTATATAGTAGATTAAGATCCATTATATCTTATTTGAACGAACATTTTACTGAATATTGTTTCAAAACAAGTTTAAAAAGCAAATACAGGCAAACCCTAGTTAACATGATTTAGTTTGCCGCATACAATGTAACTTACATGCATGGTGACATTTTATATAATTTGATCCAGTGGGGAAGTAGTCAGCATATATAGGGCAAAAATGATTCAGTAATTAATGTTATTCATATATATATATATATATATATATATATATATATATATATATATATATATATATATGGAATTTATATGATAAAATGTTTTCCGTACGTACTTGCTTAAATATAAAAAAAACAAAGTTTATTGTGGCTAATATATTTGGGTATATATATGATGATGATTTGTAGCAGGAAGAAGGGTGGGTAGTTTGCAAGGCATTCAAGAAGAAAATGGCAGCTACATCAACAAGAAGAGACGGCGAACACGAACACGAACACGACTCCCTTTGTTGGTACGAAGACCAACATCAAGTCTCTTTCATGCCTCCACATTTCGACCCTCGTATTATTCCTCCGTCACCATTCCCAGATTCCTATAATATAATTCATTACAATAAACAAGAACAAGACCTGGAATATGCCCAATACGACAACAGCGATGTATTCCTCCAACTTCCCAACTTAGAAAGTCCCAAGGTACAACAATCCACAGCTGGTGGTACTACTTCACTAATGCAGGTTTCTTCACTCGAAGAGCATATTATGCAAGAAAAAGATCAAATGTTATCGGCAGCATCGAACGTTCAAGTGACAGACTGGCGTGTGCTCGACAAATTCGTAGCCGGTCAGCTGAGTCAGCATGCTGGTGATGATAACAACCAGATTAATATTAATTCATCATGAGGCTTCTGTTGAATCAATGGAAATGATATATATGCAGAAGAGACAACAAGTTAATTCGTTATTAACTTCGAATTCTCGAGTTGATTTTATATGGAAGGTAAAAGGGAATAAAAATTACAGTATTTGCATGGGAACATATTCAATTGATGAATATGTCTTGGTTTTGGCTATATTATGTAATGAGACTATATATGGAGGCTGTTAATAATTATATATATAAATACATGTTTGTGCAAATTAATATTGTAAAGCAAACTGCAAGCTATGTATAATGTTATTGTTGTTTGTATTTCCTTTAACATATATGCACCTGCATTTGAGTTTTATTGAGATATCAGTATATATATGTCCTCTGTACACCTTTGTTGATATGAGGGTAGTTTTAGGTTCATGGAAGAAATATAAATATGTATAAGGGTTAATATACATGCTACAGATCCCTAGTTGGAAAAGTAATTATATGTGCAATACAATATATCCTAATATTTTTTATGAACTAAATCCTTTTTTTTTTTTTTTTAAATATGACTAGATCTTTAATTTTTCCATTATCCATAATTCGCCCTTAACCTAAATTCATAAATTCCAAAATCACGTCTCTCTCAAATTTATTTATCTCTTTCCGTCTTTCTCGCTCTTTGTCTCTCGCTCTCTCTCTCTATCTCTCGCAATCTATATCTCCCTCTCTCTCTCTCTCTCTCTCTCTCTCTCTCTCTCTCTCTCTCTCTCTCTCTCTCTCTCTCTCTCTCTCTCTCTCTCTCTCTCTCTCTCTCTCTCTCTCTCTCTCTCTCTCTCTCTCTCTCTCTCTCTCTCTCTCTCTCTCTCTCCACCACTCCACTCCATTGTTGAGGGGGGTAGGAGTGCGCAACTATGGCGGTGGAGGTGGCGGCAATAAGTGGGATGCTTATAGAGGCAAGGAGGGGGCGACTATGGTGGTGTGAGGTCAGATCTATGGTGGAAATCGACGACTATGGTTGTGAGCGGCTAGATTTTGGTAGATAGTTGTAATCGTT